GCAAACATTCATGATGGGTTTCATTTCCCATTCAAAACGGTGGTTTGTGAGATGCAAACTCGATGCGCTTGCCAGATGCTGCTGCTGATGACACCGTCCCCGATGCCTGTTGCCACTTGATGAATATACTTAAACCATCAATGGGATGATTCACCACCTGCAAGCATTTGGGGCTGTCAAATAGAGAAAAACTGGTATGGACTCGGCAAACATTCATGAAGGGTTTTATTTCCCATTCAAAACGGTGGTTCATATGGGAGGATGACATTATTTCCCACTCTGAATGATTTTATTCATCTAGCCTGTAGATGGACTCAATCATTTTCAACCATCTGACCTCCAGATCCATGGAAAACTTGACTATTTTCTGTTGGCATAGAAACCTTAACTATTGCATGTCACCAATTAGATTCAAGTGTCATAACTACCTTATGTTTGTGTCACTTTTTGCATGTGATGCTGTTTCGAGGCTGGAAAATGGAGATCCTCTGAAGTTCTGAGCTGCAAACTCGATGCGCTTGCCAGATGCTCCTGATGATGACACCGTCCCCGATGCCTGTTGCCACTTGATGAATATACTTAAACCATCAATGGGATGATTCACCACCTGCAAGCATTTGGGGCTGTCAAATAGTGATAAACAGGTATGGCCTCGGCAAACATTCATGAATTATTCTATTTCCCATTCAAAACGGTGGTTCATATGGGAGGATGACATTATTCCCCATTCAAAGTGATTTTATTCATCCAGCCTGTAGCTGCACTCAATCATTTCCAACCATCTGACCTCCAGATGCATAGAAACATTGACTATTTCCTGTTGGCATAGAAACCTTAACCTTTGCATGTCACCAATTAGATTCAAGCGTCTTAACTACCTTTTGTTTGTGTCAACTAACCTCCAGATGCTGCTGCTGATGACACCATCCCCGAGGGCCGTCCCCGCACGAAAACTGAGTTCCTTGCAATGAGATGATTCACGATCTGCAAGAATTTAGGGCTGATAAAATGTGAGCAAGAGGTATGGCACAGTATGACCACGGTACCGAACCGAGATCACAATGCCAGATTTTGGGCAGTACGGCCACGGCACCGATCAGAGATGCAGATTTGTAAGAGTAGTATTTGTAAAGGTAGGAATATATAAACGCCACACCTGATTTTGCAATCGCCACTCCGGCGGCGACTGGATCGCACGCAGTTCCGCTGAAGAGCGACGGATCGGGGACGTGAGATCTTTCTGTCTTTGCACTCGGACGGCATCGCCGCCGGGATAAGACTGCAAGCTGTGAAAGAGACCTACAGTATGAGCGCTTGTGGCGGCGGACAAGGGTTTCAGGGTTTGTGACGGCAGCCTAGGGTTTGAGGGGCGGGGACGAATGATCGCGGCTCGCAATGGGATCGAGGTCAAGACGATCAGATCGATCAGCCCGTCATTTCGTAGGTTAACCGTGATTGATCGTTTTAGGTGTTTTTTCTATCTGTGAACCGGCGCGATTCAGGATGGCCGTAGTTGTATCTTGATGTTTTTTTTATCGATTGGGAGGTAAAATGCGGGGGATCGGTGGAAAGCGGGAGGTGGGACGAAGTACCAAAAAAACCAGGGGATGTGGGACGAAAATTGACCGGCAGAGACTACCAACTGCTCCATTAGGAGTAGAGATAGTACGTACAATTATTGAGCTCGGTCCCAATGCTCCACCTAGTATCGTCTCTTACCACTGCGCTGATGTGGCAGCGTAATTAAAGGACTAAGCTTTGTTTAGATAGTTAGGTCCGTGTGGTGAAACCAATCCACCAGGGTTCAAGTTCTACCCCATAAAAAAACAAGATCTAGATTTGACACTGCTGATTGCATTTTTTTATGTTTCAGACCTTCTAGCTTTGCGTGTTTCAGTGAGAGAACTACGAAGGTGTCACAACTTCATCAATCTCAAGATATTTCACCGTAAAAGGGTTTCCCGAGCTTTGTATACAAAGCAACCAACCGAGACAACCAACGATAGATGCTGGGGCGGAAGCAGCACAATCACGACCAAAACAAAAGAAAGAGAAAATACAAGAGAAACAAATACCGACAACGGCGGATCGATAAAAAACCGAAGAAGCCTCGTGGCCACTGCATCGTCCACCGGAGATCGCCCACCAAGCTCCGAGCCTCCGAAGTACCGGTACCAATCAACACCTCCAAGAAGGGACACGACGATGACGGCGCTGCTGCCAAGGGTTTTCCCCGGTACGCGGTGAGGAGAGAGGAAGGGTAGCCCCGACACCCTCCAGGAAGGTCAGGCGGCACCCTCATGCGCCACCGCGTCAGTGTCGGCCAAGCCAACAGGGATTTCTCCCGATCCCAACATTCACCTTAGGCACTCAGGAGCTTGCCACCAAACAGACCCCCACCCTGCGCCAACCCGGTCACGAAGCTCCCCACGCCGTCTCACCACGGCACCGTGAAGCAAGGCCTGCACAATGAAGAAGAGGAGCTGGGACTAGGGCAGCAGCACCATTGGCACGCGGGAGGGCCCTACCTCCACCGTCGAAGATGGTAGCTGACCGGACGCAATAGCAGGAACATACCAGGCCCGTGGCCGCACAGGCCCAGCCGGGATCTCCGAGACCCGTAAAGTTCCCGCCTTCGCGCTGCAGCCGGCACGCCGTCGGCGCCGCCGCCCCTGTCCAAGACGCACCTCTGCCTCACCACGCAGAAGACAACAAAGCCACGCCGGGGACCGACCCGCTAAGATCCAGATGGGGCCCGCAAGGCCCAGATCTGAGCCGGGGACGCGCTGTCGGCCAGCCCGCGCCACCAAGACGCCTCGCCGCCAAGGAGCGGTGCCGCCACCACGTCCGCCGCTGGCCACCCCTCCGAGTCACCGGACCGCCGCCAAGCCAAGCGACACTGCCGCCGCCCCCTGCCCCGGGCCAGGAGGACGCGCGCGCTGAGAGAGGAGATCCTGCTGCCGCCGGCACCCCCCGGGCCAGAGCCGGGGGCACCTGCCGGAGACTGCAGGGGAGAGGATGAGGGGGCGAAGCTGAGAGCAGAGGCGTCGGGGCTGCCTCGTCCGCCTCCCGGGGAGGCGGCGCGAGGACGGGAGGAGGGGCAGGGAAGGAAGAGCGGGGGAATGAGGGGGCGGATCTGGGACGCGCGATGGCGAGGGCGGCCGGATCCTGCCGGAGACGGGCAGGGGAAGGCGGCGGCGGCGAGGGTTTCGAGGGCGGGAGCGGGTCCGAGACCACGCTCTTTTTTTTCTAGCTACTCCCTCTATCTCAAGATATTTTGTCGGCTTAGTATTTCAAGATGCTTATAAGAGTAGGATGGACGTGTATGAGTTTGTAGGGTTGAGTGTATATACATGTTTGTGAGCATCTATGTATATACTTTTTTTAAAGAAAATAGTGCATTAATTAACCAACAGCCGTCTCAAAAGAAAATAACCAACAAAATACGAGGCAGAATATACTGATGCCTTCATGTGGCAGTAATTATTACCTCTACAACAACCGAATCTATATAGGGACGCTCCTTAATTTTGGTGTCCTCTAATTCAATTGAGGTGTTCAATTTTCCAATTTTGACAGGTCAATGATTTTTCAAGAAGATCTCTCATTCAATTGAGCTATTTGATTCACGATTTTGACTAAATTAATGATTTCTCAAAATAATCGGTATCAGCCTGTAAAACACATCAGTCCTGCCTCCTGCGCACCCTTTCATCAAAACCTAAAAAAGAGAGGTACTAGCATGCAACACTGTAGCATTAGCACATGCAGCCACAAAAAACTTCACCACTTAAGTGTGTGTTGATTAGTAAAGTAATACATAATCACATCCCAAAAAAGCTCATCGAAACACCAATTATTAAAAAAACGCTTGCCAAACTGAGCGGTCCTCGCACCATTAGCAATATTTCGATCAATTTAATCCATGAATAAATCACTAGCATGGCATCAACAGAAATAAACATATTCTGATATTTGATCACGCAGGCACACACTACGCTAACAGCAGATACATCTAGGTATAACGCTAGCATGGCTAGTAAATGAGTTATACCCTTTTCCTCGGCATGCAGGAAGCACTTCTCTTCTCAAGCTTCAATAACATGTAGATGGGAATCTCTTATAAGAAGGTCCAACTCCTTTCTAACTAGCAATATGGGATTAAACTTCCCACCATACCCATTGCCATATAAACCCACATTTTTTTTGAGGGGTTAACCAAGCTTTATTGATCAAATTTCACATGGAATGGGATACAAAATGGGTCATGGGGTTCGGCAAGCCAGGCATGCCGCCCTTGATCCAATGAATGAGAAAACTTGGCTAACCTATCTGCGTCGCCATTAGTGGCTCTGCCTTCAAAGGAAAATTTACAATTTACGAATAAAACTCTCTGCTTTATTTCACTAATGATAGCTCCAGAGCCTCCATGGCTAGCTCTGTTGATGTCGTTAATCACGTGCTTCGAGTCCGACGCGATGATGAAGTTCTGCAAGGATAGATCTTGCGCAAGAGACAACCCTTCTCTACATGATATTGCTTCCAGCGATGCTACATCCGTTACTCCATGCAACACAAGGGCCGAACTGCCCATGAAATTACCTTGTGCGTCTCGACAGACCGCTGCAGCAGCCCTGCTAGTCTGCACCCTGGATATCGCGGCATCCACATGAATTTTTGCAAATCCTGCCGGCGGCGCTTTAGGTCGCTCTACTGCTGCACGCCACTCTTCACCGGAAGTATCTCCAGGTCTGAAATGGACCTGATGATGAACTCGTGTGTGGCTGATGGACTTTGGTATACCTCCTCATGTATCGCCTTGCGCCATGCTCATCAAATTGCCCACATAGTTACGGCTAGTCACACAAAGGACGAATAAACCCACATGGCTCTTTAGAGATTTTCCTGAAATCGTTAGATGGGCCAAAGCCCACCCTATATTTCAACAAAGCACACACCCCATGCATGTAGATCAACGAGTGTTGCGTTCTGAGCTTGAGCTACTTGCCGATGTTCTGGTACGTGTACAGCTTGGCGCACGTAAGGAAGCACCCGAAATTGACGGCGACGAGCACGGTGAGCAGCCAGTAGAGGTTCTCCAGCTTAGACGCGTTCATGTTGTCCGGCAGCCAGGCGGTGGCGCGCTGGACGACATTGATGAGGGCGGTGCTCAGGTAGAACCCAAGCGCGACGATCATGGCCATCATGCCCGTGGCCGTGTTCTTGAGCGACGCCGGGAACTCCTGGTAGTACAGCGTCACCTGCGCCGGGAAGTGCAGCGCCTCCCCTGCCCCGGCCACGGCGAACGGCAGGAGCAGCCTGCAGCCACATGGCCGACAGCGGCGACACCCACGCCGGGTTCCCCTCCTCTCCGTGCGCGCGCACCGTGGCGGTGCGGTGGCGTTCGATGACGGCGGACGCGGCCATGCTCAGCACGGTGAGCGCGTGGCCCGCGCCCACGCACTGCAGCGCCGTCGGCGTGTGGCCGGTGAGCCGCCTCCAGAGCGGGAGCAGGACCCGGTCGAGGAGCCCGAGGAAGATGACGACGGCTATGAGGCTGCCCACGAACATGGAGCCCGCCGGCGCGGTGAAGCGGCCGACGGTGCGGTCCATGGCGAGCGCCTGTAGGATGGTGAAGTTGATCTGCACGCCGATGGAGACGCTGAGCACGATGGCCGCGCTCCACAGCGGCATGATGCGCAGCACCGTCTTGAACTCCTCCACCTGCTGCACCGTGCACACGCGCCACGGCCGGAGCACCGAGCCGCTCGCGCGTCCACGTCGCCGTCAGTGATCACCGCGGCACGGTTCAGGAAGCTGCACGCGATCGAGCAACGTGGAAATAACTGGATGTCATTGTCGTCGATGACTTCCTCATATACTCATATCAGGCAGTAGTGATGTTTACAAGAGTGCCATTTGTTTTCCTTACCATAGTACCATTTCTCGTTACCCTTGTCGAGACTAATTTGCGTTATTTCAACATGCAAACTAATCTAGTATAGTATACTTAGTTGATCCTTACTATATGTTGATATTACCAAAAAGTTGGATAGCCAAAGCTAGTAGGTGGCCTTGCCACCGGTGGTTTAAATACTGAAAAAGAAGTAGAATAAATATCCAAAAAGGAATCGATTTGGACATGGACGTATTCGAAACTCAACACAACCATTGATGTATACTAAACCGACAAAACCTACTAAAATTATAATGTTAATATGAGACTAATTTATAGTTACCATTTCAATGTGTTCACCGATCTCGATATACTCCCTCCGTCCCAAAATAAGTGTCTCAACTTTGTATAAGCTCTAGTACAAATTTATACTAAGCTCAAGACACTTATTTTGGGACGGAGGGAGTACATGATAAGCATGCTAAAAGTTTATCTAATTGTAAAGCCAATATTTTTCTTCAGTCTCCACACAGGCACAAAAAAAAACTAGGAAAGCACTATATTTTGTGTAGCACAACCATGAGGTAATATGTCCATGTCATTGCTTTAATAATCACCAATAATAATAATAATGGTGTGGAGGTTGGAGTTAAGTTGCCATGGACAGGAAGACAACCCTTGCCACATACTCCTACATACCCAACAGTGACTAGGTACTCTCTTTATTAACTATGTAAGGACATTTAATTATGCTCAAAACTCAAAATGTATAGTAACTGAAGCTATAATATCATAGATAGTAATGTCGCGTTTTCAAAAGCCCTAAGGTGAGTTGGTACAAATGAAAATAAAGTACTCCCTCCGTCCGAAAATACTCATCGAAGAAATGCATAAAAATGGGTGTATCTAAAATTAAAATACGTCTAGATACATTCATTCCTCCGACAAGTATTTCCGGACGGAGGAAGTACAACACATGCAAATTGCAGCGAAAGAATATCTCCATTCTCAACAAGCACAAAAGAAAGAAAAGGAGGCTAATGGAGAGTCCTAATATAACAAAATGAACAACAGTGCTCAGCGCTTTGCACAATTACTTGTTTGTTGTGGCAGATCTACAGTGTGTAAATGGCCTGGGTGAGACCAAAGGAAGAGCATGGATTTTCTATCCATATCACCCAATTTTAGCATAAAGCCCACTGTTTTGATACAGAGCTGGGCACACACACACAAATTTGTTGCGATGGAAAAATAAAAAGTTAATACCGGACAAGATCAGTATGGTCCCCGCAAAAAAAAAAGGCTTTTCATGTTGCCCTGTATACCTTCATACACTGTCTTCTAACTTTCTTGTAATATACGGGTATTTATACTGAGGAACCTAATTGATTTTTAGCACAAGTTATATGAACTGACACTGAAAGGCACCCTAAACTAATTCAACGAACATTAATTGTTGTGCGTCGACGTGGTAGCTACCTAGTTCACGTATAGTACTACATAACCAAAGCGTTTTGGATGATTCGGTGTTTTGTAGTACGACAATTGTGGTTTTCTGTCATAATTGTGTTTCGGTCAAAATATTTTAGCCATTACGGTTGTACTATAAATAAATAAACGGATTTGTTTAACTTTCTTTAAGACTCAGAATATTTGATTGCATTCTCTTTTCGTCCGGAAATAACTGAAAATTAAATGATTTTTGTTGTAGCTGAAATATTCCTGAAACTTAAATTCAAGACCATGGGTATACTACAAAAGCACCTCCTAACAAAAGAAAATCAACTCAAAACAAATAAATCATTATTTACTTTCAACATTCCCTGTGATTTTAAAAGGTTTGAGTTTAAGCATTTATAAAGTTCATTTATGCATGTGGACCCAAACTTTTCTAAATAATTGAAGTTCGAAGATTATCCTAAGTCAAACTTAGAAAAAGTTTGACTAAGTCCGTAGAAAAATCCACAGGATCTAGCATTTCAAATTTATATAGTACAAATATATATTTCGTAGCGAATCTTTTTGCGGGGGGGTTTCATAATGAATAAAATAAAGTAATTTGTTTTTTGTGGATATTATTATATTTTTATATAGGCTTGGTCAAACATATTGTAGTTGGACTTAGGAGTTAGGACAATAGTAGAACTTCAATTATTAGGGCATGTACAGTGGTTGATAAGATAGTCGTATCTTAAGTCTTGCATGTGATTTAGAGAAGACAAAAAAAATTATCTACAATGGGTCATCTCTTAGCCTTATCTTTAATAACTAGCAATTCCTAAATATGTGGTGAGACATATTGTGCTAAGAGATCACCTCTTGTCTTCTCTTAATTAAGAGAAGACAAGCCTTTTCTTATGAGTTCTCTCTCCTCCACCTCATCATCTATCCTACGTGGCACTCGTAAGATAGCACCATTGTACATGCCCTTATGGAACCGCGGGAATATGAACAAATGCATACGAGATCTTTTCTTACCTAAAGCTGTCGCTGGGAATAGCGACATCGTCGCCGCCAGTCTTGACGTCCTCGTCGCCCGTACGTAGCCCGTAGTAAAACTTCAACTCCTCCGACGCCACGACATTGAGCTTCCTCTTCCTCGCCGCGGCGACGACCACCCTGGCCAGCCCCGTGAACGGGCTGCCCTGAGCGGGGGGCTGCCGGTAGTACCGCGTGCCGAGGAGCAGCGCCGCGAGGCCGACGACGCCGGCGGCGCACGAGACGCCGAAGCCGAGCGTCCAGGACACCGTGTCCTGGACGTAGACGATGACCGTGGCGCCGAGCACGGTGGACGCGTAGAAGAAGATGAAGTACCAGTTGAAGAAGACGTCGCGGTCGGCGGCGGCCTCGAACTGGTTGGCGCCCATGGTCGCCTGGTTGAACCGCGCCCCCGCCGCGCTCAGGCAGAGGAGGAACACGGCCGCGTACAGGGCCGCCATCTGCCCCGCCGACGCCTGCTCGCACGGGCCGGCCCCGAGCTGGCACGCCGCCGGCCGGAGGCCCGGAAGGCTCGCCGCCAGCGTGAACATGACCAAGGACTGCACGCATGACATGGAGTGGTCAATGGGCCAGAAGCTTTGATACATAAACATACATGTGCACGCGCGCGCAGATATCATAGACTTACGAGGACGGCCATGACCATGGCGACGGCGACGATGGGGAAGCTGCCGAAGAAAGCGTCGGCGACGATGGCACCGGCCACGGGGGCGACGCTGATGGATCCGGAGATGATGTTAGAGATCTTCGCCGCGTCGACGCTCGGCACGTTGTACTCCTTTATCAGGTAGACCACCATGTTGGCCGTCGCGCCGCCGGTCGCCAGCCCGACGCCCAGTATGGCCACTGCAAACGTCGATCGATCACACGGCCAGACACAAACTCAACTGTGAACATGCTCCACAGACTAGATCACACACGAGTAGGATGCACGAACCTGCGAGGAAAGGGAAGGTGATCCATCCCCCCTTCCCGTTCCTGGGTTCCTTGAGGGACTCGTGATCACCAGAGCTGAGGTGCCGAGGCTCCTCCTCCTGCTGCGACCCGTTGGCCTCCATGGGATGGTCTCCCCTGCAGTCTTTGCAATGATTGAGCTAAGAAGGCAGGCGTAAGTGGGTGTTTATGTGCAGTGAGAAACTAGGAGTAAGTGGCATGGCAAGGTTATATTACATAATTTCTCCCTTCCAGATTACTTGTGTAGATGTATCTAAACAAGTTGGAATGGAGGTAATATAATATGCTGTCACACTATCTCTAGCAAGATCGGTAGACGGTGTGGTCGGCCAGCTATATATCTTTTGATACGACGACAAAAGGGCACCCGCAAAGAAAAAGGCAGAGTGCACGTTAAAAAGCTCCATGTCTGACTTGACTAAGTACAGTCCATTGGTGTCAGTGACCAATTTCATGGACCGGGCGGTTTTTTCTTCCAATCATATCATGTCGAGCCAGTTCTCCAGTAGGTTTACATACACTATTTACGTAGATGTGGCTTTGATGTAGCAAAGCCCGTCGATAATACCAGCAGCCGCCGCCTCCTTCTCCAACAAAGAAAGTTAGAGTTCGTGTCTCTCGCCCGCGCCAATGCAGGTCCGCCTCGTCTCCGGTGACCCTAGGGCCATGGAGGCGCAGTAAATCCTGTCAAGGGCCGGCGGGAGGGCTCTGTTTTTAGTTGTTTTTTTAATCTTGCTAGGGTTTGATGACGGTGGCTCCCTGAAGATGGAATAAAGGTCTCCCCGCTTAGCCCCTGTTCCGGCGGTGCGTCTAGCATCGTGGGTGGACGTGTGGAGGTGTGTGGAGGACGTGTGGAGGTGTGTCTACGGAAGTATATTTTTTGTCCCTCAACTCTTTCAAAAGTATAGAATTGGTCCCTCAACTCCCAAACCAGCAAAACTTGGTCCCTGAACTTCTCGAACCGGGTAAGTTTAGTCCCCAATACCGTTTTGCATGGTTTCTGCCTGACTTTGACACGGTTTTGTGTGGGACCCACCTGCCAGCTGAAATAAGAGGAGCACTAAAAAATTATTGTGGCTGTAGGGATCGAACCAGGGTTGCCACGCTCGCCCTAGGCTGAACGCACATGTATTACTACTGGCATGCCATGCCGGTGTGCATGCATGCGTGGTGAGCACGTGTTGTACGTGGTGTGCCTGCGATGTGCGTGCATGACGCCCGTGCGCGCGCCACGGCCTGCCGTCAGCGCGTTCGCTGTCAACTACAGCGGCCTCTGTTCACCCCGTCGGCGCGACGCAGCTAGCAGCGATCGTCCGCCGTGTCACACGGCCTTCTGGGCACGGCAGGAGGGCCTTGTTCTCGGCACGCCGAAGCTTAAATGGACAGGTCGGCGTCGTTCGTGGAGCGGCTGTAACTTGTGGACGAGCAACGCGACCTGGCCTGCATGCATGTCAGCGTTGTTCCTCTACCGATGTTGCAGCCCGAATCTTATCTGGTGTTTTTTGTTTATCTTCTACAATGTATGTCCTTATTTACTCAACTCTCTCAACTTTTGGTCAAAACCCAGTCGACATGTCATGTTTTGGTCAAAAACCGTGTTCACGTCAAACAAAAACCATCAAAAGCGGTATGAGGGATGAAAGTTATCCGGTTTAAGAAGTTGAGGGACCATGATTTACTGATTTTAGAATTGAGGGACTATTTCTATACTTTCGAAAGAATTGAGGGATGAAAAATATACTTTTCCCGAGCCAATTTGCACCTGTAACTCTTGAAACCGGACAAGTTCCGTCCCTCCCTCCCTCAACTCAAAGTGGTATTTGCCCTGAGTTAGCATGGTTTTGACCCCGGTATTCCTATTGACTGCCACCTCATCATGTCCTTTCTCTCTCCCCTCGTATCTTCTTTTTATGGTGGTCATTTTATCAAGCACCTCGTTGGCCATCGACGAAGTCCGACAACCATATGGCATAGCCGGCACCGGCGGGCTCGCGCTGCTGCTGCTTCTGGCCATGTGCCAGCGAGGCCGCAGCGAGTGGTAATTGGCAATGGGAACGTGACGAAGGCCTCGCGCTTGAGCCAGACGTTGGCAAGGCCGTGCGCCACACAGTCGAAGCGGTCGATCGGACATGTTCGGGTCTAACCCTAGCTCTCTCTTGCTCTCACGCTGGAACGTAGGAAGAAAGAGCAGCATTGGTGTTTGGCGACGAACACCCGCTGCGCGTACGGCAAAATTTTCTTTCATCACAAACACCACTGGTTGGCAACCATCGAGCAGTCTACGGATTTTATACCCGGACTGGTGCTCGTACACGCGCAGCCCACCCCGCCCTGCTGCATGAGCACGAGCTGCATGCGCGGCCGCGCGCGCACACCGCGGCCGGCTCGCAACAGATTGCTAGCTCACGCGCTCACACACGCCACACACGCACTCCTGGATGTTGCACGCGACGCGGCAACGGACCGGCGACAGGCTCGATCAGTGCGGCACACGCGCATGATCTCCACTCATACCGTGGCTTATTCCAACAGGACATGGCGCGCCAGGTGCGCCGCAGGATGCACTGCATCGCAGCCACCGTGGGGCGGAGTTCGGAGGAGTGCTGGCATAGTGCGATCAGCCGGCAAGGAAGGAGTCGTAGGCGTCGACGAGGAACACCGCCTTCCCGTTGGGCATCTCTATCACCCCCTCTTGTCCAGTGGCGGAGCGCCATGGCGCGCGGGGCAAGGTCGAGGGTGCAACGCGAGAGTCCAGGAGGCAAAAGAGGGTAGGGCGGCGGATGGGAGCGGGTTGGTGGCCATCGGGCGATGCAGACGGAGGAAGACGTGGTGGCGACTGGCCGGACTGCGGGAGGGGGCCCGCACGAGGCGCTGATGGCGGCGCGAGGAAGGTTGGGTTGTGCGGTTGAGCAGGTGGAGTCGGGATGGAGAGAACAAGGGAAAGAACGGGGAGGTGGAGAATACAGGAGGGCGGCGCAAGGGGCGTTCGCCGGCGGCGGGGTCGAGCACATCCGCGAGATAGGGGAACCGGGACAGGTCGGGTCTCCCTTGCCACGTCAGCTTTGACCGGTCAAAACCGGCTGAGTACAATAAAACCAGATCAGACGAGAGAAGGGACGAACTTTGCCTGGTTTCAATAGTTGAGGATGCAAATTGTCCGATTTCATAGTTGAGGGATCAAATCTAGACTTTCCTAAAAATTTGAGGGACGAAAAATATACTTTTCTCTAGCTTCAAATAGATAAAAAAATATCAAATTGTGGTAATATGTCTGAACTTTCATAATAGACCCATGTGCTTTCCGCAAAAGGAAAAAAAATACGACCAATTCGAAAATACCAGCTTCCAATATATAGATTCCTTGACTTTTTTTCGAGGAGGAGGAATGAGAAGTGGACTCTATATCGATGGGAGCGCTCCTATTTAGCGCGTTGTGCCAAGGGAAACAATGAAACCTAGCCCATGTGTGGAGCGCGGTGACTTCTTTTCTCTTCCATTTCCTTTTTATTTTATTTTATTATTTTATTATTATTTTCTTCTTTATATAAATTTGGGAATACAAAAAATCTTCATGATTTGGAAAATAGTTTACAAAATAAGAAACAAAATATAAAATTGTTCACTAATTTTATAGAGTGTTCATATACTTGAAAAAAATCCAGATTCTAAAATATGTTCTTAAATTCAAACAAATGTTCAAGAATTTCATGAAATGTCTGCCGATTCCAAAAAAAATCATAAATCTCAAAAAACGAATATTATTGAATTTTGATTAACATTTTTGTATTCGATGAACAAATTTTCCATTCTATTTGCTTTTTGAATTTGATGAGCAAAAATTGAATTGAATGAACAATATTTTAATTCGATGAACATTTATTTGAAATTCATGAGAATTTTAAATAGATGATGAAGACTTTTGAATTTCTATGAACATCTTTTGGGTTTGATGAACGAACTTTGAATTTACTGATTTTTTAATTTGATGAAAAAAAATTGAATTTTATGAACTAAAAAATATGTTTGAAATTTATGAACTTTTTTGAATTGAAAAAAAATCATGATTTAAAAGAAAGTTCATTAATTTGAAAAAATAAAAATATGAATAAAATAAAACAAAAATGAAAAAAGAAAAGAAAGAACTAAGAAAGGAAAAAAAGAGCAAAAAACAAAGAAAGGTTTTGGACAAAATCGAAGAGTGATCCTGCGCTACTTGGGCCGGCAAAAACATGTAGCGAGAAGAGAGAGGGGGGGGGGGTGCACGTTTGGCCGACAATTGTCGACCTACACGTTAAATAGGAGAAGTCTATATCGATTGATCAGGGACGTATGTCAGCTTCTGCAACTAGACCGAACATGGCCCCAATTTTTTGGTTAGCCAAGGTGTTAATTGAAGCATTAGATACCACATTAAATAGGCACCATAAGAGCAAGTACAATAGGATGATGTAGGCAAACTTAAGCCTTTAAATATTATATTTTGATAAGTTGAAGGAGAGAGAAGATAAGCGGACTACTGATTAACAGCCGGCTGCAGCACACGCTCGTAGACATGTTATGAGAGTAAGATGAGCCATGTATCAAAAAAGCGATACATATTTATATGCAACTATTGTACTTGTCAGCTATAAGGTTGACTATAGATGATGGGACAAGATCATATAGCCAGCGCTATACTATTAACCATGCTCTAAGTATCTCTCTTCACAATCCATCAATTCCTCTCATCTCTCCGTCTCTTCCACACCCTCCCCCCTCCCTTGCAGCCATATATTATTAATTGTTAAGGACGGTCAAGAATGGATGCCAAACAAAATTGGCTTACAAAAATAAAATAAATAAAATAACACCTGAAGCAACTTCTTCAACTGGAACTTCAGCCTAATGGAGATTGAAGGGGTGATATGAATATAAAGGAAAAGACTGCCTTCAGAGCACACCCCTTTTTTTTCTCTGCAACTGCCCAGTCCAAGAAAAATAAGAAACCAGCTGCAGAAATAGCATCAAACTCGGGATGGCGTCTTATTTGAAGTGCACAAACATATTTTGCCACCAAAAACTCCTCCACAACAGAAGAGATTTATGCTTTCACGTAGGCATGACGTATTCAGATGTTCCGAAGAAGCATCAAGCAAATCAATCTGGGTAACAAAGTTTGCGGATCAAATGGACTCGTAGCAGTTATGAAGACAAACAAAGCAAGTCTTTCACATTTTAAGTCCTCTGTCATCACTACAGCTTATTATTGGTTTGTATGAACCAGAGACAGATATTCTTTCATATATTGATTCCACCGGCATTGCTACGGTTTGTATGGACTGGACGTGCCTCCAATTACCGTGCTGCCCGTTTTCAGAGTGCCATCCGCATTTCTCTCGAGCAGATCATCAAAGAACTTGTTAGAAGGAACATAAGACGGCCGGCGAGACCCTGCAGACATGGGTTGCTTCAGGCTCTTGTTTGTCGGTGAATCTGACGCAGCACTTCGAAGCGGTACGCCGAAAGATTGTGATTGCTGTAGAGGCCTCATGTTCAACGGTACTTTAAGAGGCGAGCTGGAGGTTGAAAGTTGCTGCGATGAAGATGCCACGAAAGGGTTTGACTCGGTGTTGTCCTGAGGGGCCCATGGTGGCGGCGGGTAAGGAGATGGGTTGTAAGGAAATTGTGGTTGAGGTGGTGGTGCCTGCTCCTGCTGCTGCTGCTTGATGGGTGCAGTTTGAGGTTGATGCTGAGCCCAAGGAGCGACGTAGCTATTGTGCGCTGCAGCTGTGTGTTCTGGGCCTACATAATGAGGCTGTGGATGATAACTGGTTGGGGAACCACCAGGATGCAAGGCAGGTTCAGGTGATGGGCCTGACACTATGGTGAGCGCAAGAAGGTCGCTCATAATCTTGTCTTCTGGAGAAGTCTTTATAGGAGCTAGATGATCAGGCAATGCTAATGCACTGCTTGAAGTAGATGGTGATGCTGTAGTGGTCACAGAAGCTGCTGAGCTTGCCGTTCCATCCTGCGTGGACGACGATGATGCGCCTACGCCTGAAGAGGCGCTCTTGTCATTTGCTGACCTGAATCTCGAATTCCTGATCACAATTAATCGTCAGCAATGAATCATGCAAGATAGACTGAAGGAAGTATGAAACAATAAAGATCGGTCATTTAGTACGACCTGCGAGCTAACTGAGAGAACTCATCATCTTCCTCCTCTTCCTCTTCATCATCCAAGACAAAAGCTGGTACAATGGCAGTTTCGGGAACAACTGTTACTGCAGGGGTTGTAGTGGTCCCTCTGGGTAATTCACTCAACACATCCGTTTCTTCACCCGGTAGAGGGGAACCTGATGCAATTGCATCGTGTTTGGAAAGCAGAATTTGCAATCTGTCGTTCAAGTCGAGACTTTGGCTCAAGAGGTCCTCATCACTGTAATGCAGCACAGAAACGTCAGATAATTTATATGGAATTGCGGCTGTCATTCTGTAAAAATGATCCCTGCCTCTGAACAGTGATTGACACTACTTAACGTTGTCATGTTATGTAAGGGGAGTGTCCAGGTAATAATAAGCTTGACTTCGGTCTGGGTTTAATTTTTCGACGGAGAATCTTGATCGTTATTAATTTGAAACAGAATTACAATCTGAGTGAAAGGTTGTGATGGAGAAACATCGGATTATTCTTACACACAACTTACAACTTACACAGAAATCCTTTAAACCAAATATGCCCTTAATAGCAAAAGATGATATGACTGCTGCCACAGTAATAAGATGCGAGAATGTAGGAGACAATGTTCATACAGCACGTACCTCACTGAACTAACCAAACTCATGATCTTTTTCTGGTATGATCGGCATTGGTTCACAAGTTCCGCGATAATTTCATCATTCACAGCCTAAAATGACAAACATCTCTGTGATTTAGAAATTTGCATGTGTAGTGACCAACACAAGGGAACAATAAATCATTTCAAACCCTCAAGATTAGACTCATGTACGTTGGATGCAAAAAGTGCTCTTGAGCATACAACAGACCACACTAAACAAATTAGTACCAACAATAGGGTTGTACTACATAGCAGTGACTCACGCCCGTGACCCACGTGAACGGCCGCTCGGGAAAGACTACATGTCAGCAGGTGGATTCCTTGGTGGATCTCATTACCTTGGCCGGACTCGTTCGTTGTCCTCTCCTCCCCGGCGTGCTCACAGGTGTTTCATCGTCCCTCTCACATATGGAATGGTGGAATGGTGGCGACAGGTTTCTTTTACCACCTTGGTGGTGGTTATTCTACCTCTGTATTCATGGTTTTCTCTAATATGGCAACACCAGCAACGACCCTCCTGCTTCCTCACTGATGCAGGATCCATGGTGGCAATGAATCTTCTTGGGTAGAGCTGTCGAGGATTGTGGTGCCTTTGGACAGTTCAGGAGCTACTCTGCCTTGTGGGGGCACAAAAATCCCACACTGCTCTTCCCTCGTGAAACAAGACAGCGGAAGTAAAGGGCGAGAAACTTGCGACGTGGACTTGGATTTCAACATTACTTTCTAGTCAAATCTCTCGAAACAGGTTTTCGCCCCGCTTTGTATATCGAAAAAGGCTTTCGCCCCGCTTTGTATACCAAAAAAAGCTTTCGCCCCGCTTTATATATAAAGCATAGACCAACAGTGCCTGATACAACCACACTCACCCAACACAATCGCACACACACACCCAAGGCTGAATACATAGGCGCATCATACTCCCTAGCACTACAAGAGCCGCCGGGGGCTTCAGCCGTGAACACCACCGCGAAGAAGTGAAGCCGCATATGACGAACCGTGGGCTTCAAGGCGGCGCCTTCAAGAAGGATACGACACCGGAGCGCCGCCACCGCCCGATCCAAGGATCAGAGTTTCCCCTGGAGCAACACGACGGGCAATGATAGCCGCGATGACGCCTTCAAGAAGGGAGCGATCTACGCCGTCGCCAGTCCGTCCGAAGATAGAGTAGGTTTTCACCCCGGCCAACCCTCACCGCCACCGAATGCCACACCCCGGCTACCATGCCGCCCACACGGCCGTGGCAACCGGGCAGCACCGAGGCACGAGCTCTGCCCAGGAGCACTGTGCCACCACCACCAGGGCCGCCGCCCCGGAATCCAAGACCTTGACACCACGTCCCCCGAGCCCCACCGCTACCCCAACCGCAGAGACGGGCGGAAAGGATCGGCCTTCCGCACCCCTGGCCGGTCCCAGCGCCGAGACCCAATAGGTCGGCCACAACAAGTCTCCATCGAACCGTCCTGCTACACCGGGCGCGAGACGAGCGCAGTCCTGCTGCCGGGCACGAGACGGGCCGGTCCTGCTGCCGGGCGCGAGACGAGCGCAGTCCTGCTGCCGGGCGCGAGATGGGCCGGGCCTGCTGCTGGGCGCGAGACCAGCTCGGTCCTACGGCACCGAGTGCGAGACGGTCGATGGACCGCAGCCGGGAGAAGGCCAGCCCTCCGGCGAGAGAAGCGAACGGACACCGAGGAAAGGGGTCGGAGGTCGACACAGGCAACTTACAGACGAGCCGACGCCAGAACAATCTGGCCGCCGCCGCAATCAACCTGCCACCACCACATCACCTGCGCCTCCACGCCCTGGTCAGAACAACCCAAAGCCCCGCCACCCCGCACAGGAGCAGCAAGGACACCGGCCGCAACACCACCACCTCCACAGGGACGCCAGCCACCCCCGCCACCGGAGACCAAAACAACCACCGGAACTGGGCCGGGACGCCCAGATCCGCCGCCAGCACGCCCGAGTCCACCAGACCCCACGAGCCGCGGGGGGAGGAGGAGCCGTCGGCGGGCCACAAGGGCGCGGGGCGGAGCGCCGGAGCAGGAGCCGGCCGGGACCCGACGCCGCGGGCAGGAGGGAGGCGACCCACGACGCCATCCATCCGCGCGCAGGGGAGAACCGCCCCGCCGCCGCCTCGGCCACGCGGCCTTTGGCCGGCGGCGCCCCAGGCGGTGGCGAGGGAGGGGGAGACGGGGCGGAGGGCCGGAGGAGGAGGCGCTAGGGTTGCCCCCCGACGGCGCCCGCGGGAGGGAGAGGAGGGAGGGACCTCAATGCCTTTGTATTGAACCCCCGCTTTGTATATAAAGCAACAACTGAACAAAGTACACGGCCGAACGATACAAGGTCAAGAGGTAGCCCTCTTACAAAGTCGATCCCAGGATGATCGGATCACGTACACCGCACGCGACTACGCTACCGAAAACACATGAAGGATGTCAGCGCCTCGCGTCGCCGCTGTCGAGTCCACAATGGACAAAGGTTTTCACCCAAAACCCGGACATGGAGGGGAACACCACGACGACGTCTTCAAGAAGAGAGTGGTGCCCACAAGCGTCGCATCGTCGGCACCAGAGTGCAGAGCTTTCGCTCGGTAGCTCCCGCATGCCACCATGAGGTCTTTAGAAGAAGCATGATGAGCTCAGATCCCTAGATCCGGATCGAGGCGCCACCACGGAGACCAAGAGCACGCCCGAGCCACCTTGCAATATGCCTCTCGCCGCCACACGATCAAGAGGCAATGCCACCACTGCCACCATGGTGCCCACCGGAGTGCCAACCATGTGGACCACCTTCCAGGACCACCGCCTTAGCGTCCATGCCACGAGAAATTGCCAACCGTCCACTTCACAGTGAACAAGCCGCAGTTGGAAAAGCCCGGCATCAGCCTCTAGGCCCGGGCCAGCGCCGCCACCATAGGGGCACCCACGCCTGAGGTCCCCACCAATCCCGATGGACCGGGGGGGCATGACCCAGTGGCTGCCAACGGCCATTGTCAAGCCATCAACTCCGACGACGCCAAATCCGCGGCCTACG